GCGGCCGCCAAAGGCGTCCCAGGCTGAGCCGCGCCCGCCGGCCCAGCCGCCGCTGGCTCGGCGCGGTCGTAGGGCCCGCTGCGGGCACCTCCTCGACCTCCACCGCCGTCGCGGGAGGGAGGGGCGCCCTGGCGGGCCCACGTGACCGCCGCAGCCAGCTTGGCGGCCAGGGCCCGCTTCTGGTCCTGGTCGAGCTCCTTCGTGTTGTCATCGACCTCCAGCACGGAATCGAAGGCCATCTCGTCCACGTCCATGGTGCTGCCCATCGGTGTTCCTGGAACAGGCCCAGGTACATCTTGGGCTCCCACAGGAGTGGGCGGCACAGGCACCGAGGCTTCTGCTGGGATAGCCGCCAGTTTCGCCTGCAGCGCCCTCCACAGGTTCTGGCCATCCTGGTCGAGGTGGCCGTTCGAAGCCAAGGCCCCAAGTTTGTTGCCCCACTCCTGCACCTCTTTGCCGAAGCCGTCCGCACTGGGGGGTCTTGGCGGGGCCTGGGTCTGCGCCTTAGCCGTCTGGATCTCTTTCTCCACCGTGAGCTTCCATTTCCGTTCATCTTCGAGTTGTTCCTGAAGAACTGCGATGTTATCCTCCAGCTCCTCGATCCGTCCTTTGCAGCTCTTGAGTTGCTTCTCCTTCTTCTGTAAGAAAGATTCTGCCCGACGGACCAGAACGCTAGCTGGGAGAGCCTCATCTCTTGCTTGGCGAACATTACTGAGCACCTTCTGAAGCAGATTGGCGTCATCCTGTCCCAGCTGGTCAAACTTGGTCCCAGCTCCGTCGATGAGTTGGTGGAGGCAGTCGGCTGCGCCCAAAGGGGCTTGGGGCGGAGCGCCGCCTCCGCCCCACCTGCCTTTGCCTTTGCCACCGCCCCCCTTGCCGCCTTAGCCGCCCTTGGCCTTCCAGTTCCAAGCTCCCCAGCCATTGCCCAAGTTACTGTGCTGCCACACACCTTGAGCTGGTTGGTGAAGTTTCTGGGTGACCTGGCGGAGATCTGATCCACATGCGTAGCACCAACGATAATGAGTGGGGTTCCGACGGCAACCGCAAGAGCCACACACCACGCTGCCACGAGAGAAATGAACATCCTTGCCTGTCATAGGCAAGCAAGATGTACAGAGGAGTACGTAGAGAGTCATTCTAGGGCGAGGGAACCTCACTTCAGTACACGGACTGGTATGCCGCTGGGGCCGCTTCCCCCCTTGCCGAAATGACCTCTGTCCTTGAGCAATGCCTCCGGACTTGAGCCAAATGGCTACGGACCCTCCTCCTCTTCCTCCTCCTCCTCCTCCTCCTCCTCCTGGGACAGGCTGGGAGGCAAGGACGCAGGTTCGACTGCACCTGTCTGTCACAGTCGGCGGCCGCAAGCGGACCGACGGCGGTCGCGCGACGGCGGGCCGCGCCGGGGCAACGAGGCGCGAGGGCAAGGGAGCGCGAGGCGCGAGGCGGCTGGGGGGCTCGAGGCGAGGGGGCCACACTCAGACCATGAAGGACATCGTGTGCGTGCCCAGGAGGGCAGGGCCCCTGAGATCCGACGCTCCACACAGATTGGAGCGGGCGCTCTTTGACTGTTTTCGTCCTCCGGGGGCCATCGCCGGGCCTCGGGAGCGTCAAAAGACGATTCGGGACGGAAGACCGGTCCCAGGGAAGTGGTCCGGACCTCCCGGGTCCACGCACCAAAAAAATTTGAGCAGCCAGATGTCTGGAGCGGGCGGCGGGTAGAAGAGCAAGTACGCACACGCCTGCACCAAGCCCCGCCATGCCAGTCCTGAGCCCACGGCCGGTCTTCCGCCCAGGCCCCCCAGCCCCGACCGGAGAGGCGCAGGCAATCAGAGGACGGCGACAACGACGGCGACGGCGACGGCGACGGCGACGGCGACGGCGACGGCGACGGCGACGGCGACGGCGGCGGCGGCGGCGGCGGCGACGACAACGAAAACAACGACGACGGCGGCGAAGAACGGAGACGGTCCCCCCCTGACCACGCGCGAGGATCACAATGACCGCGGAGCCTCCTGCAGGCCTCCGTCGTCGTCGTCCTCCTCCTCCTCCTCCTCCTCCTCCTCCTCCTCCTCCTCCTCCTCCTCCTCCTCCCCCCCTCCTCCCCTCATCCTCCTCCTCCTCCTCCTCTTCCTCCTCCTCCTCCTCCTCCTCCTCCTCCTCCTCCTCCTCCTCCTCCTCCAGCACCAACCTCCACCTTCTCCTCCTCACCCAGCTGCTTCCATCCTCCTCCTTCCTCCTCCTCCTTCCTCCTCCTCCTCCGCCTCCTGCCCTCCATCCTCCTCCTCCTCCTCCTCCTCCTCCTCCTCCTCTCCTCCTCCTCCTCCTCCTCCTCCTCCTCCTCCTCCTCTTAGTTTAACGTTTATTGATACTACAAATATTAATGGTTTGCTTCCTCTTCTTAGTAATAGTAGTAATATTAATATTCGTGCTATTATTGTTCTTGAGAACTCTATTAGTAGTATGATCAGTAATACTCTTAATGTGGTTAATATCCGCTGGC